ATATAATAGTTATTAGGTAGTTTTTTCCTATAAATTTTTTGCCTATAAATAACCATTCATGGCTACATTGTGATGGATCCAACTCAAATAAAAGATAATTGATTTTTATTTTTTTCTTGTCGTTTATATTTCCTGCACTTTATTTTCAACACTTATTTTTCGAAGTATAGGAATAGAGGTAATTTTATGCACTTCCTTTTCAAAGCATAGGAGTAGAGGTAATTAATTGTTACTTTGATTATTCACTCAAGCACCCCGATTGTTCACTCAATCATATTTGTCCGTCTCCCTCGTTTTTTTAATTTTTATTTTTTCTACACTTGGCAATTTTGAAATCTTTTTCATTGAGGCAAAAGAACCGTCAACACAATCACTTGATAATTGGCTTGAATTTAATCCGTAAGAATTTGTCAATCCTTACTGGCACGCTAACATTTATGGTATTTCCCTTTGTAGGAAAAATAAGCCAACATTACCTTAAAATAATTTGGGTGTTAGAGATAGCACCTCTTTTTTTTTTTTGAACAAGCAAAAAAGGGCCTCTGAGGTGTCATCACGGCCTCTGTGGGCTCTGACCTCGGGATAACCGGTTGCCAGTCAAAAATTAATCTCTCACCAAATAAGGAACACACCACCAAAACATTAATGGAGCTCACGATATACGCCACTCGTTTATGTTCCATGATTTTTGTATGTAATTTTCAATCCTTAGTTCTAATGCCTTTTGCACATTCCAAGGTGAATTTATACTCTATTATTATTATTATTTGTTTTTGCTCATGGGCTATTCAAAATTTTGTTTCGACTAACGCATTGTTTAAGGTACACTATATAAGTGCAATTTTTTATATTTTTTTAAATTATATTATTTCTTTATTTTTTTATATATTTTTTCATAAAAAATTAAAAATTATATTTATTTAGATCATTCTAAATAATTCCTAAATCATCAAGTATATTTCACGTACTCAAAAATGACATTTTTAACTATTAATCTACTGCTCTAAGTTCGAACCTAAACCTTCATATTTTAAAGTCGGTTCAAGGATTATATAGGTAGGGTTGATGAATCATATAAACATCGTACCAAATGGTACCCACAATGGCAGAACCAAAATTTCAACTAATGGGAACAGGACATGAATGCATTTGGGTTTTATTAATTGATATCAACTACTATATTTCAATTTAAAATGAAACTAAACTAAAATTTAACATTAAATTAATACATAAAAATAAATTAAACATCTATTCAACCTTAGCATGTGAAAAAAAAAACTATAATACTACAGGTCTGTTTGGTAACGTTTACGTTTTCAATTTATATTTACAAAAATTTTATAAACTGATTTTTGTTTATTTTTAAAAAAACATAAACTACAAACGCGTCTGGTAATTGACAATATGTTTAAAAAAATTTAAAAATATAAAAAAAGTGAGAAATGGCAAGTGGTGGCAAGTAGCGGTGGAAGACGGTGGTAGAAAGTGGTGACGGTGGGTGGTGGGTAGCGGGTGATGGCGGGTGGGTGGTGGTGGTGGGTGGGTGACGGTGGCGAGTGGTGGGTGGTAGCGAGTGGGTGGTGGTGCAGGTGGGTGGCGATGGCAAGTGGCGGTGGGTGGTGGTGCAGGTAGGTGGTGGCGGTAGTCGGTGGGTGGGTGGGTGGGTAACGGTGACAGGTGATGGGTGGTAGCGAGTGGGTGGTGGCGGTGGTGGTGGTGGTGGTGGTAGTGGCAGGTAGGTGGTGGATAGCGGGTGTGGCGGGTGTTATGGTGGGTGGGTGGGTGCGGTGGCGGGTAGCGAGTGGGGGTGGTGGCGGGTGTGGGTGGTAGGTAGCGGGTGGTGGTAGGTTGGCGGGTGCTGGTGGTGGTTGTAGGTGGATGGGTGACGGTGGCGGATGGTGGGTGGTAAGTGGTAGCAAGTGGGTGGTGGTGGTAGGTGGGTAGTGGGTGATGGTGGTGGTGGTGGTGGTGGCAGGTGGCTGGTGGTGGTGGATGGCTGGTGGTGGCAGGTGGTGAATGGTGGTGGCAGGTGGGTAGTGAGTGGTGGTAGCAAGTAAGTGGCGGGTGGTGGTGGGGGGCGGTGAATGGTAGTGGCAGGTGGTGGGTGGTGACGGGTGGATGACAGGTGGGTGGTAGTGGTGGTGGTGGCAAGGGGTGGGTGGTGGGTGGCGAGTAGGTGGCAAGTGGGTGGTGGGTGGTGGTGGCAGGTAGGTGGTGAGTGGTGGTGGTGGGGGGTGGGTGGTGGTAGTAGAAGACAGTGGTGGAAAATGGTGGCGGATAGTGGCTAGTGTTGGGTGGTTAAAAAAAAAAAAACTCAACTCAAAACGAAAACTCATTTTTTGAGTTTAAATTTTTTGGCTAAATTTATAAACTGAGACCACTGATTTATAAATCAAAAAATTACCAAACAAGTTTTTATTTGAGTTTTTTAATTTTTTGTAAATATAAACAGGAAACTGAAAACGTAAGTGTTACCAAACGGCACTTACGTATTTACCCTTATTAATTTAGAAATTATTCAAAATTATTATTTTACAATTATGATTAATTTTATATAGAGACCACACACTATGGGTTCGTTTGAAATGTGAGTTGAATTTTTAATTTTTTTGACTATTTTAACTTGAGCCTCGTTTGGGATAGATCTTTTGACTTTTGTGAGAAAAAAAATATAATGATTATGAATTAGATGTGATGTTTTATCTTATTGGATTAAAAAACTTATTTTATTTTTTTGTAACTAAAATAGTCAAAAAGCCCCGGGCTTTTTCTTTCCAAATGAACCCTACACAAATTTAATTTCAACTATTCAACCAAAAAAATGTGAGTAAATAAGTAGTGTTTTGAGAAGATGGTAAAAATCTAACTTTTTTAAATTTTGTGTGTAAAAAAATAGAGAGATTATGGGATGTTTTGAAAAATTAGTAAAAAATTGACTTTTTGATTTTTTGACTTTTTTAATGATTTTTTTGACAAAAAAACCGACTTTTTGTGTCTCTTTGGGGAGATCTTAGTAAAAAGTCAAAAAGTTGATTTTTTTATAAAGTTCTCAAATTGTGATATGACCCAAAAAAGTTGAAAATTTAAAAAAAAAAAATTAAAATGCCAATCTTCTCAAATTGCCCCTAAGTTTGGATTCTTTATTCTAAAAAAGAAAAGAAAAGAAAATGGTAATACTATCAATCAATCCATGTCTTTTGCACGGTTCACTTGAAATGGGAAATTATCAGAAAGTGATGTTTATTAGTAATTACCGAGTTATCCAATGAAAAATGTATAGACTTATTCCAAAAAGGAGATGGAGCATCCTGTAATAGATTTGGTTTTAATAATTTGACCCGTTTAATGCGTAAAATTTATTGGGTATTTTATATTTGTAAAAAGTTTTATTGATTAGATATTGATAGTCCCTTGATCAGAATATATTATTTTTATCAATGATAGATATGATTTTAAAAATAAATTATTAACAAAAATGTGTTCTAATAAAGGGACTACTAATATTTGATCAATGCTATTTTTTGCAAGTATAAAATATTTAACCAGCTCTACATATTAAACGGTTCAAATCATCAAAACCAAATCTATACTACAAATCTAACAATAAGCTCTAATCTACTACGTGGACAGGAGAAAACTCTCCCTTCTAAAAAAAAATAGGGTAAATTACATTTACCTCCCCTGAGGTTTCTGACAAATACAGGGACCTCCCCTGTGGTTTGAATAATTACAGTAACCTCCCCTACTTTACCTGACAATATCAAGATTCCCCCCTGCTGTCAAAAATCACTAAACGGTGTCACTTTTTCCTTCAGAAATTACTTTATTGCCCTTCCCTTTAAAAATATTAAAAAATGTTTTTGGTTTGGAGGATAAGTTTAGGCCTCGTTTGGCATAACCTATATAATCCATCTTTTTATCTTTTTATCTTTTTTCCATCACATCACCTCTCTACTTTTCTGCACATCTTTTCGTAAAAAGACAAAAAGTGTACTTTTTTAGGACACCCCAAACCAACCCTTAGAGTGTTTGGAATAGTATTTTTAAATTTATTTTTTAAAAATATTAAAAAATGTTTTAAAAAAAATTATTTTTTATTTTAAATATATAATTTTTATTTAAATATTTTATTTTATTTTGTAAATATTTTAATTTTTTAATTTTAATATTATAGGCTATTTTAGCCATAACAAACAAAACATCACATCCAACCCATAATCATTACATTCTTTTCTCACAAAAAAACTCAAAAAAGCCAAAAAGCCAAAAAGCCCTTCCCAAACAAAACTTTTAAGCCCAAGCTAAAATAGCCAAAAAAACCAAAAAACCAAAAAGCCAACCCACTTTCCAAACGGAGGCAAAACCAAATCTATACTACAAATCTAACAATAAGCTCTAATCTACTACGTGGACAGGAGAAAACTCTCCCTTCTAAAAAAAAATAAAATGGTAGTACTATCAATCAATCAATGCCTGTTCCCTTGAAATGGAAAATTATCAGATGCGTATTAATTGTCGATAGTATCAATGAAAACTTTATGTATATATATATATATATCATTTTACTGTATTTGATTAGAAAATTTGAGAAAAAATTAAAAAAAAAAAAAAAAATGTAAAATTAAATAAAATATAATTTATTTTATTTATATTTCACTTATTTTTTCTTATTTTCTTTTTAATTTTTTTTAAAATCTCTTAACCAAACATGGCCTACAAGTAATGTCTTCATACTCAACACGTGGTTTCATATTCCTTCCTCGTGTATACTCAAATTTTGCATATAAGAACTCTTCTCCCTGTTTACACGTTTCGTACTCACTCATTCACTCCCTCACCCATCCATTCATTCTCTCTCTCTCTCTCATTCACTCACTCACCCATCCATCCATCCATCCATTCATTCTCTCTCTCTCTCTCTCTCTCTCTCTCTCTCATTCACTCACCCATCCATTCATTCTCTCTCTCTCTCTCTCATTCACTCACTCACCCATCCATCCATTCATTCTCTCTCTCTCTCTCTCTCTCTCTCTCTAAGTAGTATCTTCATACTCAACACGTGGTTTCATATTCCTGCCTCGTGTATACTCAAATTTTGCCTATAACAACTCTTCTCCCTGTTTACACGTTTCTCACTCATTCGCTCACACACTCTCTTTCTCAATCATGGAGAAACTAAAAGAAACATGCCAAACTTGTGGAGATGAAGAGAGAATAAGTGAGGAAATGGAAGAACTACTCAAAACCCTTCCCATGGAGAAACTCCCAGAAGGTATAGATCTCTATTTCTATGAAGGGCATTGGTATCCATCTATGTTCATCCATTGCATCATCCCATTTCAGCAACAGTTCAAAGCACAAGACACTGATCTGATACTAGTCAGCTTCCCAAAATCAGGCACAACATGGTTGAAAGCTCTGGCATTCGCCATAGCAAATCTTAACAACTACCCTCTCAACGAAAGCCCATTGCTGGCCACCAACCCTCACGTCCTCGTCCCTTTCCTCAGCGATGCCTTCTACGGCAAGAACCCATTCCTCAAGCTTGAAGACTTTCCTAGCCCTAGAATCTTAGCAACCCATGTGCCACACTCTGCTTTGCCTACTTCCATTAAGGACTCTGATTGCCGCGTTGTCTATCTCTGTCGAAACCCTCTAGATCAGTTCATCTCATTCAGCCACTTTGCTTGTAAGCTTTCAAATAGACCTTTCGATCCAAGCTTCATAGAGGAAAGTTTCGACATGTTCTGTCGTGGTGTGTCCGCATATGGGCCATTCTGGGATCATGTGTTGGAGTACTGGAAGGCAAGCCGAGAGAGACCAGGCAAGGTGTTGTTTTTGAAATACGAAGATATGAAAGAAGACCCCATTTCTCACCTGAAAGTGTTGGCTAAGTTCATGGGTTTACCTTTCTCTGTGGAAGAAGAGAGCCAAGGGGTGATTGAGGAAGTATTAAAGTTGTGTAGTTTTGACAACTTGAAAGATTTGGAGGTGAACAAGAATGAAAAAAATAGAATGGGACATCCGTATAGTGTTTTCTTTAGGAAAGGTGAGGTAGGAGACTGGGCAAATTATCTTACTCCTTCCATGGTTGAACGCATGAACAAGCTCATGGAAGAAAAATTTGCTGGCTCTGGTCTGGATTTCAAGTTCTCTTAAATATTTGAGTTGTTTCATAATGTTGGATGATTACTTTCTATTTAGTATAATTTATTTACTATCCCTTGTAATTTCGTTTGTTTAATGCAATAATGACCTAAAGTCTTTGGAGACTTCAAGTTGAACATCTGAAATTTTTTAGATTTTCTTGATTGAGCCATATCTAATATCAAGATAATGGCTCTGTTGGGTTTAATTTTTATTGCGGGTTGCGGGCGGTTACGGGTTCAATTTTTCCTAAACCACACATATGCGGGCGGGTCTAAGCCACAAACCAAACCGTCCAAAACCGATCTGTGAACACCCCTAGTTAAAAGTAGTAGTCTTCATGCTCTTCACGTGGTTCTATTCTTTCTAGGAAAATGCTACATATAATTGTATTTTTTTTAATCTTTTTTTCTTATTCCTAGACACAAGCGAGTGGATTTTGAGAAATAAAATTATATATATCGCTGCTCGTTCCTACTATATATGCAAATGTTTATAAGCACAACATGACACTGTGTTAGCTAGTTGATACCTTTTTTAATTTTCTATTATACAACTCTTCACTTGTTTATCGAGATTACTCTCTCTCTCTCATGAAGAAAATGAAAGAAGCTCCTCAAATTTGTGGAGAAGAAGAGAGGATGGGTAGTGAAATGGAAGAACTGTTTAAAACCCTTCCAAAAGAAAAAATCCCAGATGGGATAGATCTCTATTTGTATGAAAGGCATTGGTAGCCATCTCAATTCATTCAAGGTATCATCTTATTTCAGCAACGCATCATAGCACAAGACACTGATCTGATAATAGTCACCCTCCCAAAATCAGGGACAACATGGTTGAAAGCCCTCGCCTTCACCATTGAAAACCGCAACAATTATCCCCTTAGCGAAAGCCCATTGCTCACCACCAACCCTCACATCCTCGTTCCTTTCCTCGAAATTGATTTCTATGGCCAAGAACCCAATCCTCAAGCTCGAAGACATTCCCAGCAGGAGAAGTTTAGCTACCCATGTGCCATACTCTGCACTGCCTGGTTCCATCAGAGACTCCAACTGTCGTGTTGTTTATGTTTGTCGAAACCCTTTGGACCAATTTATGTCCTTCAGCCACTTCACTTCTAAGATTTTGGGTAGACCTTTCAATTCAAGTCTGATAGAGGAAGCTTTCTAGATGTTTTGCATGGGTATATGTGGATATGGGCCATTCTGGGATCATGAGTCGAGGTACGAGAAGGTGAGCCAAGAGAGACCAGACACAGTGTTGTTTTTGAAATATGAAGATATGAAAGAAGACACCATTTCTCAGTTGAAAGAGATGGCTAAGTTCATGGATTTTCCTTTCTCTGTGGAAGAAGAGAGCGAAGGGATAATCAAAGAAGTATCAAAGCAGTTTTGACAACTTAAAAGATTTGGAGGTCAACAAGATTAGCACAAACTTTGTAGGGTATCCAAATAGTGCCTAATTAAGCCAATTATCTTACTCCTACCATGGCTGAACATGAAGACGATCATGGAAGAAAAACTAGTCGGATCTGGTTTGACTTTCAAGCTCTCTTAAGTTTTTCTTGGTTTGTTATAGTTATATGCTTTGATGTTCAAGTTTTCTTAAGTTTTCTCAAGTTTGATGTTCGTTTTTTGCCTTTTATTTGTGTAATATCCATGCCAGTAAAATGGCAGGATCTTGTAACATATAAGAGCAATGGAAACACTCCCCTTTTATAGGCTTACGTCTTTGCAAGGGGCGCAATACAAACTCCCCCCCTTTTATATCCTTACATACCATGAATGTCATTTAGATTTATTGTTCTTACATGCACATATATACCCAAGATCCTTGCATAAACTTTTGATGTGGTACTCAAGTTTATGTGGGATGGGGTCGTTACAACCACAATATATACATATATATATACAATTTCATCTCTTATCTTGTGTATTCTAAATGTGGTACTACAAATTTCCAATCGTGCCAGAAAATCCATACTGATCGTCAAACATTACTTAAATTTCTTGCAACTTGCTTTACTTGAATACTTCTAATCTTCCACTGCCAATAATTCCCAAAATCCGTACATAAATGAATCAGGAATCAACTAAATAGTCAAAACACCACTTTTGTCTGATAACCAAACTTAGTCATAACTAAAACACCACTATAGGTCGTAACTAACACCACATTGTGTCAGTCAAAACACAACAATGAGTCATAACCAAAACACCACTATGGGTCGAAATTAACACCACATTGTGTCATAACCAAACATACCACTTTGAGTCATAATTAAAAATACCACTACGAGTCATAACCAACATGTGCATAAGCCAGAGCCTACTACCTCTCCCAGACTCTACTATAAGCCAGAGCCTTATGCACCTAACACGACAACCTAGTAGTGGCCATCATCATCATCATCATCATCATCAGTTTTTGATTAATTCGATGATGAGGCCAAACCCCCAAAATCAACTCTATTAACCACAATATCTACAACAGTGTGTTCTAAAATCAACTCTATTAACCATGATTCCATATTCAGGTTGAACCATATTTTTTAAACAATTTAATTACCGCCATTAACAATTAATGTGTTGCGGCAAAAAGACATTTACAGCCCAAAGGTTTTTGTTAATTACTTCAGCAAATCTTAAATTATTTCAGAAATTATTTTTTGTCTGCAACAAAACATCCAAAGTGCAAAAGACAAAAACAAACGTTAATAAGCATTGTATGGCAAACATTTTTATGGTTTCAAGATCAAAATTGAGTATATCACAAATGCATATATAAAGATACAGAAGAATGGTACAAACACCTTGTGGATTAAATGTAGTCTGGAAGGAAAAAGCTGACACAATAATGAGAGTAATTTTTCCTTGCTTGACCTTTTGTCATTGCTGTTGCCCTCGAAGCACATTGTCAGGATTGGGTGAAACTAGGCTCTCAACATAGATATCCGCTTCAAGACAGGCACACAAGTTATGAATTGCAGCATTCCTAAATGTACCATCCTTTGGATTGAACAGAACCAAACCTGATCCAAATTCCAATAAAATTTCACCATTCTTTGAAATGCACAACGGAGGGGAGTACTCATAATTCCCTGGATCTGTCACATATGGTATTGCGAACAATTTAATCCAAGACTCTCTGATGCCATACTCATTCATTACCCATACATCAGCACGAGTTCCTTGGAAGTTACAGAGCACACAAAGGCACCCTTTTAAAACACCCAATGTCAAATCAAAACCACCATCACCATAATTAGGTTGCACAACCTCCCCATACGTCTCCTTTGCCAAATCAAGAGAAACAATAACCCAAGAGTGACTCGAACCAGTATCGCCACTAGCAGCCCAATGGAGCGCCCCATTTGCAAATTTCCCCGAATCATCCAAAGGAATACCACAAGGAAAGTCTTGAATCCTCCTCCAAGAATCGGTCCTCAATGCATAAACTTTCACCTCATTCTCATACGAACCCCCACTGCCAAAAACACAGAAGATCCCCACCACCTTGTAATCATCTATGGATTCATCATAACCAAACCCATATATTATAAAACAACCATACCTCATTCTAATACCCGAATTCGGCAATTTCTTCGATTTCCTAGTAGATGGGTTCCATAGAAATATAGAATCTTCTTCAATAGCAATACAAACCAACCCATTACATGAACCCACAATCCAAACCGAATGATGAGGGTCTTTCAATGGATAATCAAGTTCAACAGCATTATCAGATTGTTCATACAATACAGAATAAAGAGAACATGACTTGAGATCAAAATGGGGACAAATAGAGCTCAATAAGAGTCTCTGGTTGGTACAATCATCGATCTTAGATGCTATACTAAGATGGGTTTTCACGAATTGGGGATTTGAAATCAAAGAAAGCCATGATTTGCAAACGGACCTGAATTGAAGCAGAGACTTGACGGGCAATCTAGAGAGAAACTCGACGATGATTTCATGAGGAAGGTTCGGCAACGGCTGTGAATCTTCTTCGGCTGGGATGGGGCTTTGGTGAGTCGTCTTGATCCTTTTGGTTTCTCGATAAGTCAATTCGCTTTCGATCGCCATGGATGGAGCTGAGATTCTAGGGTTTCGTTTCGGCTGAAATGAGATTCTCCCAGATTGGTACAAGCTTTTAATGCTATGTACAGTTTGATTTGTCCTGACAAAAGCCGAATAATTGTTGGAAAATGAAAATAAAAATTGGAGATTTTAATTTTTTATTTTATTTTTTGGATAGGAGATGGTATAAATAGGAGTGATAAAATTTTGTAATTCAGAAATTAAAAATTGAAAATCGATTTTGTGGATAAATTGCAAATAAATAGCAACATCTAAGAAAATTGTGAAGAAATAAGGAAATAAAAATTGGTTGCAATAGACATGGTGGATGGATGCAATAGACATGGAAGGTAACAAAATAAAATATTGTAAATTGTCAACATCGACGGTGTTTGGCAACTTGTTGGTTAGGTTACTTTAGTCTCTTTTATGAAAAATTCATGTAGCTTGATTGTAGCTGAGGTATCAAGGAAATTCTATTTCCAACCACCAAGTTTTCATACTTCACACACTTAATGAATTTTTTTAGAATTATAATTTTATTTTTTAATAAAATTACCATCTCACCTACCACCCTCTCATCCACACATCTCACAATTTCTCCATATACATTTTACCCACCACCATCTCACCAGCCACTTCACCTCCGGCCATCGCCTTCCATGCCCAAATCTCAACCATACAAAGCAGAGAACAACACCAGATTGATCGATCTTGTAAAATAATAATAAAAAAAAAGTAGACTGTAAATTTACCAAACAACACCAAAATGATCGATCTTGTAGAACTGTTTTGACATTACATAGTTTCTTCTACTATGGGGTACATATGATGGTTGTTCTCCTAAACCAAATGCGTCATTTAATTCTTGTGTTCACCAATTGTAAGATGACAGTGTGTAGGAATTGGAATCAGGCTGTTGGTTTTGTGTAAAATTGTAAATAGCGTCTGATTTCATTGTTCTGTTCTGTTCTGTTGTGTTTATGTTTGCTCCAGAAGATCAGAGTATACATAATGTAGGTTCAGTTAGGCATAAATCTTTTTAGAGTATAATCTTTTTTCTTTTAATCTATATCTGTACATAATATTTGTTATTGTATATATTTAAATACTCTATTGCGCATAACATGTTTGATTGGAGTGCTTGAGGAAACTTGAGGAAGTAACTTAGGTAACCGGTAATTTAGCTATGTTTCTTTGTTGCTTAGGCATGCTATGGTGTCACATGCTCTGTCTATTGTCCATGTCTCATTTTGTAACTGGGTTTTCTGAGATTCAAAGTGGGTTTGGTTCGCCATTGAAGCAAACCTAGCGGCTCTGAATATTTTGAAGAGGGAAGGAGGAGAGAGAAGGCCAAGTGAAAGAAGAAAAAGGCAAAAGGACATTAAAGGATGGAAGGAGAGGATGTGCATAGAGAATGTGAGGGTATATTTGGAATGTAAAGTATGTGGACTGAGATAAAGAAGTAAAAATCAAATTACTAAATGTGTGGATTGAGAAAAGATGTACACAGAGATAGTTTGGTGTCTCGAAATAGAATTTCCTGAGCTAATAAGCTTCTCTACAGTTAGATGTCACTATGTTGGTAAAAAGACATTTTTACCCTTTGTGTAGCTCATATCCAGAAAACGGAGAGTGACAATTGACATCAATTGAATTCATTTATTACAAATAAATTTGTGAACCTAGGTCAACAAAGGTTGGATGGCGGCAATATCCTCACTGCCACGTGTATTGCTGCCTTTAGTATTTTATTGTTTTTTGTATGGGCAGTTTGGTCATTTTACATTACATCACCATTTCAAACACATTTTTCAATACAACAACTCAAATAAAAATTCATCCCATCTTTCCAAACACAAAATCTAAAATAGCCTACTAAAATAGTCAAAAAACCAAAAAGCCTAAAAAATAGCCACTTTCCAAACATCCACAAAATCTAATTTATTCAAAATTGAACCAAAAAGTCCCTTCATTTTCTTTGAATTTACCAAACTCCCCTTTTTCTTCACATCATGCTCCTCCCTTTTGCGTTTGTCTTTACAACACTTTGTGATAGTTAACCACTACTATCATGTCCTTTCCCACCATCCCCACCTCGTGCCCACATGGCTACCACTATTATCACCCTCTATTACTCTCCCACCATTTTAAATCCCCATCTCTTCCATTCAACAATCTATTTTCAACCAAAACTTATCCATTGGAGTTGCAATAAACCCCCTAACATCTCTTCAGCTGTGTTTGGATTGAATGATTTGGAGAGAAAAGAAAAGAAATGGAGAGATATGTATTTCTCTTACTTGTTTAGATAACCTAAGTGGAGAGAAATGGGAAGAAATGGAGAGAAATGGAGAGAAACTCATTTCTCTTATGAGCCTCATTTCCAATCTTCCCAAAAGTGAAGAGATTGGGAGAGAAAAGAAATCACTATTTTCATAATATCAATTTTATCCTTATAAAAATAAAAGAAATAAAATGATTGAAAATATAAAAAGGTTATTTTGGTAATATAACATAAAATAATTTCTTTTCTTTTCTTTTCTTTTCTTTTCTCTTAATGAAATCTAACCAAACAAGAATGAGAGAAATCACAATCATTTCTTTTCTTTTATTTCTTCCTTATCCAAACAAAAAGGAGAGAAATCACAATCATTTCTTTTCTTTTCTCTTATAACTCAAGTAATCCTTTCTTTTATTTTTTCTCCTAGATTCCCAAACATAGTGTTCATGATGACCTGAAACTTCCAATCACCATTTTCGCAAAATAAAGTTTTATGCAAGTGCCACTTTTGATAGATACAAATTACACATGTGCCAAATTATTTTTTGCAAGAATGTGGGTTGGAAGTTTTGGGTCATGACAAAGAAGTGCTAGAGGAGGTTTATGGTGATTGGAGTGATGAGAGGTGGAAGCCATGACAATGAAAGAGTTGTGAGGGAAGAAAGTGACTGAAGAGGGTTGGGGGATAGTAAGAAAGGGTTAGGGATGGCGGGAGAAGTTATGACAATCGTTGTCAACTAGGGATGAGCATGGCTCATATTAGTTCGGTTTGGGATAAAACCAGAACCAATCTGTTATCTACAGTTCCATAAAAATTGAAACTAGTCCAATCCATTTAAATCATGGAATCAATATGAATCAGACCATTTAAACACGGTCCAGCTCGGTTTGGAACCATGGATTCACATAATCTATTAATAAAGAAAAATTATATAACATTTTCATTTCAACATTAATTTGTCCATAATTTTTCAAAACATAAACATGCATATTGTTCCACAATTAATTTAGACAAATATAATATCCAGTTCCACAGCAACAATAGTAGTAGCCATCACCAAATTTCAAAAAAAAACTAAAACTGGTTCTACCATTACACCATTACAAAACTAAAACTATAAAATAACATAACAATAGTAACAAAGCAACTGTTGCACACAAAGAGAAAAGAAGAGCATGAAATGTTATAAATTAGGGATTTGGTTTTATATATAAGAGATAGGATAGTATGTATTAGGGATATGTGAATATAATCTAAGTTGCATATGGTCTGGATCGGTTACAATCCAGAACTGTGAAGTGAAATTCGAAAATGATCCGTGGGAAACGGTTCCTCAATTTTCCAATCCAAAATTGGACCAAGGATTCAAAAATCCAGTCCAGACATACCGGATTAGACTGGACTGATTCGATTTACAAATTTTACGGATTCCGTATTTAGCCCTATTCCTAGCGACAGTAACCAAATATACAATAAAGAAATAGGAAGAAAAGAGGTTGGAGGGTAGGTTTGTCCTAAAAATTCCAGATTTAACCTCTTCATAATTACCTTCAAAGCTTTCATTAATTTTACAATTTGAGAGATATTTCATTGATTTACTAATATTTTTAATTCATTTCATGTTTATGTAATTTTATCTAATTTTATATATACTATTACTGGCCTTTCTTTTCTTTTCTTTTTCTTTTTTTTTCCCCCTTGTCTCTCTACAAGTTTGTATAAAACAAGAGATTTAACCACCAAAAAAAATAAAATAAATGGATAAATTACACTTTGTCCCATTTATGTTTGGCTATTTTCTCACTTTAACGCTTAAAATTTATTTTTTCTCACTTTAGCTCTTCATATTTCAAATTTTCTACTTCTAAAATAAATTTCTATTAAAAATTAGATAAAAAATAATACATTGATAGTCATGTGGTATAAAAATATTTTATTATATATAACTCACATCTCTAAAATAAACTTAAATCTCAATATAATAATATATATTTTTATGTTATGTGACAGTTATTATGATATTTTTTTGCTTAATTTTGAACATAAGTTAGCTTTAAGAGTAAATTGGAAAAAATTTAAATCATAAAAGGCCAAAATGAAAAAAAAAAAACTTTAGGAATCAAAGTAGGAAAGCGACCAAACATAAAAGGAGTAAAGTATAATTTACCCAAAATAAATTCAAACACAGGTCAGGGCTCAAAATTGATGTTCAATGTCAAGGAGTTAACTCTACATGTTACTATTACTTCATTAACCCCTTCTCTATTTTTCTTTTGGGTAAGGCTTTTCCCCTTGTTTGAGGGTAATTTGAATAATTTATTTTGTACATCTATTTTGTTAAATAAATAAGCACAAGAATAATAAAGTGCTTTCTTTAACATAGACCCACAAGAAGTTTGAAGAATCTAATCACCCAATAATTTTTCAGCGTCTATTTTAAGTTTCTGATTATACTTGATGAAGTATAAGCTTAAAAAAGAAGAAAAAGACAACTCATTACTTGACTGTCATTAAAACAGACGCCTATACAATTAAGACCCAAAAATAAACCTCGAATATCCACAAGAGCAATGGCTCTAAAATTGCACCTCAAATATAGTAGTTGCGATGTCAACAAAATGAAAATGAACATATGTATACATCAAGAGGAAGGGGATACAAAATATGTATTACTTTGAAATATTATTTTCTGCTGGAGCTGCCCTTCTACGACAACCTCAACAATGGATGAGAATAGGCCCTAAACAATGGCGTCCAATTTCCGAGAATCCAAAGTCAGATTCAAAAAACACCTCTTCGAAACACAAACACAAAAATGCCAGGTTTTTTTTTTTTTTTTTTTTTTCTTTTGTATCTATTAAAAAAGATAAAAACAAGTTTAGGCATCAACTTTCACACAAGCAATGGTGACCATTTTTTAAGCATACCAAGATAAAAGTAAAATTAAATGTAAATTACAATTACCTCCATTGAAGTTTCAGATAGATACAAAAGAAAAAATAACAAAAACAACCCATTCTCTCTCTTTCTCTCTCTCTCTCTCTCTCTTGCATGCATTATTTTGTGTAACAACACACGCTAATTGAGGCCATTTCAACGGCCTTCACAGTTCAAAATCAAATCATGAAGTATATGACACCCTAAAAAACCCTAATCTGGTAAAGCTGGATAGATAGAAATTGGGCATGGATATTGACAAAATAACAAGAATGGTGCAGTATGCTTACTTAAAAGAGACAACCTTCGGGAGAGAAAATGAATATGTTACAATTGTAAAAGCCTCAAAAGTGGAGAGAACTATAACTCATTTGATCTTTTGGGTGTCTTATTTTTATTTGATTTGTGTTTTAACATATAGACATAAAAGCAAGGGTGTCAATGTAAAGAAAAGAAATCTTTGTGCATTAAACATATAGTGTTGAAGGAATAACAAGATATATTAATTTTACCTTTCTTAAACTTTTGACACTGTTGTTGCTTCTAACCCAAATTATTTCCATCAAGTGAGACTAAGCTCTCAACATAGGTATCCACCGGAAGACAATTGCACATGTTAGGTATTCCAGGATTCCTAAATTTACAATCTTTCAGATTGTAAAGAACTAACCGATTCTCAAATTTCAATAAAATTTCACCATTCTTCGAAATGCACAATAATGTGTAGTGGCAAATTCTTGACACTATAGAATATGGTATTGTGAACAACTTAGTCCAAGGTTCTCTCTCGCCATTCTCGCTCATTGCCCATACATCAACACAAGTAGGGAAGTTGCAGAGCACATTGAGGCATCCTTTTAAACCACACAATGTCAAATCAATAACACCATCCCCATAATTAGGTGGCACAATTGCTCCATATGTTTCCTTCTCCAAATCAAGAGAAACAATTACCCAAGAAGAGTAACTCGAATCCGTATCAACATGTGACCCAATGGAGAGCCTCATTTGCAAATTATCTTGAAATAAATGGATGCGAAGGAATACCATAAGGAAAGTCTCCGATCCTCCTCCACAAACTCCTCCTCAATAAATAAACTGTTGGGTCGGTAGACCCTAATAAGTACTGTTCACTCAAACACTGGGTCCAATGGGGCCCGAGGGAGAGGGGGGTTTACCTCTCTCGGCCGAAATTTTTGAGTACTTTCGTAATTCCCATATGCATCCGTGTAACCCTAATTTTATACTTATAAATAGATGAAGGGGTGCCTTTTTTAGGTTAAAAGAGAGTTATATTTTTCTGATCATAGTGAAAACCGCAACAGCCGTAGACGTAGCCCTATTCTGGGGTGAACCACATAAATCCTTGTGTTCTTGTGTGTGTGTGTGATTTGTTTGATTCATTTTTCTTCCTTGTTTGTTATTTTGTGTCTCATCGATCTTGATTCACTCATGGCAAACCAGACATGGGAGTTGACTGAATTACTAGTGGGTAAGAAAGCTTTGCACAACAAGTGGGTTTACAAGGTCAAACAGGAACATGATGAGAGTAAACGCTACAAGGCCAAATTGGTTGCAAAGGGATTTCAGCAAAAGGAAGGGGTTGACTACACTGAAATTTTCTCTCCAGTTGTGAAGTTGACCACTATTAGATTGGTGCTGGGAATTGTGGCTGCTGAAGATTTGCATCTTGAGCAAATAGTTGTGAAGATGGCTTTTCTCCATGGTGATTTGGAGGAGGAAATTTACATAAAGCAACCACAAGGTTTCTTGGCACGTGGCAAAGAGGAGTTTGTATGCAAACTTTGAAAGAGTTTGTATGGTTTGAAACAGGCCCCTAGGCAGTGGTACAAGAAATTTGATGGGTTTATGTATAGCAGCGGTTTTACAAGATGTCAAGGAGATCATTGCTGTTATTTCAAGAGGTTTGACAAAAGTTATATTATTTTGCTCTTATATGTTGATGATATGCTTATTGCAAGATCTAGCATTGAAGAGATAAAAAGATTGAAGAAACTTTTGTCCAACCAATTTGAGATGAAGGAGTTGCAAACAAAATCCTTAGTATGAGGATTTACAGGGACAAAGCAAATGTTACTTTGAAGTTGTCACAGGCTGAATATGTCAAGAAAGTTCTCAAGACGTTTAGCATGGATGGTACAAAACTAGTGAGCACCCCATTGGCTAGCCACTTCAAACTTACCAAAGAGCAATCTCCGAAGACTAAAGAAGAGCAGGCTTACATGGAACGTGTTCCATATGCTTCAGCTATCGGTAACATAATGTATGCTATGGTTTGTACTAGACTAGACATTACATATGCAGTGGGAGTGGTTAGTAGGTACTTGAGTAATCCAAGCAAACAACATTGGGAGGCAGTGAAGTGGGTCCTTAGATACTTGAGTGGTACTACAGACATGTCACTTTGTTTCAGACGAACCGGCATCGGGTTACATGGTTATGTTGATGCAAACTTGGCTGGTGATCTGGATAACAGAAAGAGTGCTACTGGTTATGTTTACACATTGAGTGGTACATCAGTGAGTTGGATTTCACAGTTACAAAAGACTATGGCCCTTTTTACAACAGAGGCTGAGTATGTTGCTATTACTGAAGCTGGGAAAAAGATGATTTGGTTATAGAATTTCCTAGCAGAGTTGAGTAAGACGCAAGAGATGAGTATTTTGCATAGTGACAGTCAGAGTGCTATTCATCTTGCAAAGAATCTGGCTTTTCATTCTAGGACAAAACACATTCAGCTGCGATACCATTTCATTCGTTCACTTGTAGATAATGGAGTCTTGTCTCTTGAGAAGATCCAAGGCAGTAAGAATCCAGTAGATATGTTGACCAAGACAGTCACCATTGACAAACTGAAGTTGTGTGTAACTTCAGTTGGTTTTCAAGATTGATGAAAGAAGATCGAGTTGTTGTGGCGTTCCTTTATGTGATGAAGATGATGAAGAGCTTGTGTTATCAAGTTCTAAGTGGAAGATTGTTGGGTCGGTGGACCTTGATAAGTACTATTCACTCAACTCTACTGTTTACTCAAACATTGGGTCTAATTGGGGGTTTGAGGGGGCCTCCCCCCAAGAGGGAGGGGGGTAAAAGGGGTCCAAGGGGTACTTTCATAATTCTCATGTTGCTTCCATGTAACCCTAATTCTATACTTATAAATAGATGAAAGGGGCACCTCTTTTAGGTTAAGAGAGAGTTGTATTTTTCTAATCATAGTGAAAACCGCAGCAGCTATGGACGTAGCCCTATTCTGGGGTGAACCACGTAAATCCTTGTGTTCTTGTGTGTGTGTGTGTGATTTGTTTGATTCGTTTTTCTTCCTTGTTTGTTATTTCGTGTCTCACCGATCTTGGTTAGGAAGGGTGAGTTCCTAACACCACACCACACCACCCCCACCCCCACCCCCACCCCACTTTGGTTCTGACCCTCACTAAAGATCCTGACCGACTTGTAGTCATCGGTATACTTATCATAACCAAACCCACATGCTCTTGTAAACCCATTTTTAGCATCCAAATTTGGCAATATCTTGTGTTTCCTAGTAGATGGGTTCCATAATGATAAAACTATAACATGTCGATTGCAACCAGCCTACACCAACCCATTACATGAACCTAAAATAAAAACTGCATTACCATCTACTTGAAATGGACAATCAAGCTCAACGGCGGTTTCTTTAGCATTCATCAGGTTCAAGTTATTTATTATTGAATACAGAGTAAAGAGAACATGACTTCAAATCAAATTCGGGAATATATCTTAGTATCAGTCTTTGTTATATATAATCATCATCATCGGTTCTAAATGACATACCGAGATGGGTTTTCACGAATTGGGAACTTGAAATTGAAGAACGCCATGATTTGGAAGCGCACCTGAACTGTAGTAGAGACTTAACGGGCAGTCTCGAGAGTATCTCGTCTTCGATGATTTCCTTCGGGAGGTTCGGTAGTAATGGTTGTGAATGTTCTTCGGCTAGCACTGCGCTTTTCTGGGTCTTCTTGATCCTCTCCTCGAGTTCTCTATGATTCGAATTGCTTTCGACCACCATGATTAGTGGTGCTGTGCCTATCATGGTGTGTGTACTAGAGTTTTGAGATTCCTCTTAAAACTTCACAAACCAATTTTGAATATGAAAAATTAATTTTAAACTGCTTTGAGTTTTTGAAAATACGAATTAAAATTGTATGGGCTTTGAAAATACTCCCAAGTTTTGTTTTATCAACTTATATCTTGAATAATTTGAGTCAAGAACAGGAATACCAGAAATTTAAAATTTCAATTCTCAAATGAAATAATAAATATTAAACTTTACATTATTAAATTTGTAATTAAAAAAAAAAATTAACACGTAATTTATTCGGAGAGATTTTGAAAACTTGAAATAAATAAATACCCACATCTATACACAATTAATCAAACATCATATTCATCAACATAGTAAAAATGATAATAACACAAGAATAAATTTCAAGTCTTTACATGAAATCTTATATAAAGTGCTCACAAATTTGTATAATATAATCCTACAATTAATTAGCCAAAAGAATCAATAACCTAAACAACTCAAAAGAGCATTCACAAGAAATCAAATTACTACTTAGACCAACTGTTATATCAAGAATTGTGAGTTAGTTGAGAAGAAGTTAGTTAGTTAGAGGAAGGCAGTTGAGAAGAAGTTAGTTAGTTAGTTAGAGGTGTGAGGTATGCAAGGCGGTAGTTATAAATAATTGAGGAACTCCCATATGAAGGGTATGTAATTTTCTAAGAATAATATACAGACTTGCTACTTTCTTTCTCTATATTTCTGTTTCTTCTTCCCTAGTTATTACATTGGTATCAGAGCACTCAAGTTCTTGGCCTGTTCGTTCTCTGTAACCACCATGGCCGACGGAACTAGAGCAGCCTAAGAAGCTAAAAAAATTGAGGAGACACTGCAATCATTAAAGGAGGGTAATAAGAGAAATGCAAAGGGAATCGGGGAAATCAGGAGTTCTCTCAAAGATTTGGCAGATATCAAGGAATTGATTGCTGCCATGAGTATGAAGTATGATCAAATGATAGGACACATCTATGGGAAACAACATGCAGATCGAAGCGACAATTCTAGAATGCTCCGCCAAGAACAATTTAGGGGTTTCTCTAGTAGGAGTTCAAGCTCGTGGGGATTTTCAAGCTCGAGGGGATTTTCCATTAAGGGCAGAACACCAATCTCATCAACAACGATGTGTGAAGATTGAATTTCCTCGCTTTTATGGTGATAATCCAAATGGTTGGATTTATAAATGTGAAAGATTTTTTGAGTATAATGTTGTTGACAATCTTGATAAAGTGAAATTGGCGTCTCTTCATTTGGAGGACTCATCCCTACAGTGGTTTCAATGGTTTGAAAGATGCTATCATCATATTACTTGGGATTTGTTTACACAAGGACTTCTATCAAGATTTGGCCCAAATTCATATGAAGATGGAATGGGTAACCTAACCAAATTGAAGCAGACCACTACTGTGAGAGCTTACCAAGAATAGTTTGAGATTTTGGCGAATAAAACTCAAAACCTCCTTGAAACTTTCTTTATTAGTTGTTTCATAAGTGGTCTTAAGGATGAAATTCAACTAGGGGTGTTAATGTTTAAACCAACCTCTATCACTCAGGCTATAGGGTTAGCAAAACTTCAAGAAACAAGTATTGAACCTATTACTAAGAAGACTAGGTTGAGAACCAAATCAAAAGGCATCCCTCATTTTTCTTTAAACAGGTTACAAGTGGGTAATGAAGGATATGTTTGAAAAGAGTTATCTAAGGAATTGGAGGAAAAGAAGGCCAAAGGGTTATGTTTTAAGTGCAATGAGAGGTATACTAAAGGGCATGTGTGTAAAAAGAAGCAATTGTATGTTATGGAAGGAGAAGAAGATGGAGAGGATGATGATCAACTACCAGTTCTTGAAGAACATAAAAGGGACGATGAAGAACAAGTATTTGGGGAGGAACTACAAATTTATTTGAATGCTTTAACTGGTACAATCTCTTACAAAACAATGAGGGTTCGAGGTAATGTTAAAAAAGACCTCATCATCATCTTGATTGATTTAGGGAGTACACATAATTTTCTAAGCCCAGCAGTGGCCAAAAGAGCTAATATCGAGACAAAAAATACTGATTCCTTACTAGTATCAGTTGCTGATGGGACAAGAATGTTGAGTACAACCATGTGCAAAATTTTTCAGCGAGAAATGCAAGGCACAACTTTTCAGGCTGACATAAGGGTCTTGCAACTAAAAGGGTGTGATATGGTTTTGGGTATCCAATGGTTGGCAACTCTAGGTCCAGTTAAGTGGGATTTTAAGCATCTTAGCATGGAGTTTCATCTCAATGGCAGAAGACATGTTTTAAGAGGGGGAAAGAGAAATGAGTTAAAGGTTTTGAGCCCAGAAAAAATGCAGAAGTTGCTGCACAAACAGCCACAAGGAGCCATAGCCCAACTCTATTTGTTGCAAGCTGATTGTCATGTGAGGAAAGAGGAGACTCCACCATATTTGGAGGCTTTGCTTTATGACTTTGTGGGTGTATTTCAAGAACTAAAGGACTTACCACCTTCTAGATCTCATGACCATTGCATCCCTCTCAAACCAGGGACTGAACCCACAAATGTGAGACCTTACAGGTATCTTTACTTTCAAAAAACTGAGATTGAGAAACAAGTAAAGGACATGCTTACCTCTGGTATAATAAGGCCTACTGTCAGTCCATATTCTTCACCAATATTGTTGGTTAAGAAAAAAGATGGCACTTGGAGAATGTGTGTGGATTATAGAGCTCTTAACAATGCCACTGTCAAAGATAAGTTTCCTATACCAATAATAGATGAACTTCTGGATAAATTATGTGGGGCAAAGTATTTTTCTAAATTGGATCTCAAGTGGGGCTATCACCAAATAAGGGTTCATTCCTCTAACATTGACAAAACAACTTTTAGAATCCGTGACAGGCACTATGAGTTTTTAGAGATGCCCTTTGGACTCACTAATGCCCCTTCTACATTTCAGAGTCTCATGAATGAAGTCTTTAGACCTTTCTTAGGGAAATTTATTTTGGTATTTTTTGATGATATCCTGGTCTATAGTGGGTCTTGGGGAGACCATTTGCAGCATTTGCAGCTCACTTTACAGTTGCTTAGGCAACATCATTTGTTTGCAAAAATGACCAAATGTGTTTTTGGGAAGGCTGGGGTGGAATATTTGGGACATTTAGTTTTAGCTCAAGGTGTTTCTGCAGAACCAACAAGGTTACAAGCTATAAAATCTTGGCCAATACCTTTTACTATCAAGGAATTGAGGGGTTTTTTGGGTCTCACTGGTTATTATAGAAGATTTATCCAACATTATGGTCGAATTTGCTCTCCACTTCATTGTTTGCTTAAGAAAGATTCCTTTGCCTGGTCCTTTGTAGCTACAACAGCTTTTCTTCAACTCAAAGCTACAATGATTTCAACACCAGTACTTTCCTTAACTGATTATAGTAAAGCCTTTGTTTTAGAATCAAATGCCTCTGGCACATGCCTTGGGCTATGCTCATGCAAGATGGGCATCCCATTGCCTATTAGAATAAGGGCATTTCAGCAAGAGACCAAGCTCTCTTTACTTATGAAAAGGAATTAATGGCAGTAGTGCTGGCAGTCCTCAAATAGAGGCATTACCTTCTAGGTAGGCATTTCTTTATTAGGACTGACCACCAAAGTCTAAAATACCTTTTGGAGCAGAGAGTGAGAACTCCTTTCCAGCAAAAATGGGTGACCAAGCTGTTGGGTTTTGACTACACTGTCATATACAAGTGTGGGAAAGATAACCAAGCGTGGGAAAGATAACCAAGCTGCTGATGGTTTGTCCCGGAAAGGGGAGTTGTCCAATACTGCTGATTCAATAGCTATGATTCATGCTTTATCTTGTGTCCCTACCAGTTGGTTGGCTGAAGTAAAGCGTAGTTAGAGTGAAGATACTGATATTCAACAGTTGATACTAGACCTGCAGCAAGATCACGCTCCTGCTGGTTATGCTTGGGACCATGATATTTTAACCTACTATGGCAGGTTGGTAGTTGGGAACTCAATCCTCAGGAAGCAACTTATTCAAGACTTCCATTATTCACCTTTGGAAGGACACTCAGGGATAATCAAAACCACAAAAAGATTGTATAGGAATTTTTATTAGAAGGGCCTATAGCAGGATGTGGCTCATTTCATTTCTAAATGTGGTACATGTCAAAGGTACAAAAGTGAAAATGTCAAGTATCCAGGCCTATTGCAGCCCCTTCCCATTCTTAATAGGGTATGGTCTGACATTTCCATGGATTTCATAAAAGGTCTACCAAATTCTCAAGGCAAGATTGTGATCTTTGGAGTAGTAGATAGATTGTCAAAATATGGCCATTTCATGGCTTTATCACATCCATATACATCTAAAGATGTGGCCAAAGTATTCTTTGATCAAGTGTTTAAGTTGCATGGTCTTCCTTCTATCATTGTTTCAGATAGAGATGCTGTGTTTACTAGCCATTTCTGGCATGAACTCTTCACTTTACAGGGTTGTAAGCTGTGCCTTAGCACTGCTTATCACCCTCAAACAGATGGTCAAACTGAAATTTTGAACAAATGCTTGGAGAACTACCTCAGGTGTATGTCTGGGGACTGTCCTAGGCAGTAGGCTAAGTGGCTCTCTTTAGCTAAGTGGTGGTATAATACCACCTATCATGCTGCCACCAAAACTACTCCTTATTTTGCAGTCTATGGACAAGAGTCTCTTGATCATACTTTTTGCCTTTCCAAACCTTCTTCAGTAGCAGTGGTGGATAATTGGGTCAAGGAGAGGGCTGTTATTATCAAGACCTTAAAGGAGCATTTGTCTGAGGCACAACAAAGAATGAAACATTATGCTAATAAGGGCAGGGCTGAAAGGGAATTTGGAGTTGGAGACTGGGTGTTCCTCAGGTTACAACCTTATAAACAGACTACAATGGCTTTGCAGAGGAATATGAAGCTACCTCCGAGGTTTTATGGCCCATATCAGGTCTTGGAAAAGGTTGGTTCAGTGGCTTATAAGTTGCAATTACCAGCAACTGCTAAAATTCACCCTGTTTTTCATGTCTCATTGCTCAAAAACAAAATTGGGACCAATGTGTTAGCTCACACTACTCTTCCCCCAATAGGTCTTGAGTGAACTTTGCAATTGGAACCAATGGTTGTCTTGGATAGGAGGATGGTTAAGCGTGGTAATAAGGTTGTGGTTCAGTGGTTAGTCCAATGGATGAATTCTTTTCCAGAGGATGCTACCTGGGTTGACCATTCTGCAATAGAAGCAAAGTACCCCCACTTTCAGCCTTAAGGCCAAGGTTAATTTTCAAGCAGCAGGGAATATTATATCAAGAATTGTGAGTCAGTTGAGAACGAGTTAATTAATTAGTTAGTTAGTTAGAGGAAGGCAGTTGAGAAGAAGTTAGTTAGTTAGTTAGTTAGAGGTGTGAGGTATGCAAGGTAGTAGTTATAAATAATTGAGGAACTCCCATATGAAGGGTATGCAATTTTCTGAGAATAATATACAGACTTGCTACTTTCTTTCTCTATATTTTTGTTTCTTCTTCCCTAGCTATTACATAACTCTACCACTACTCTTGTCTTCAAGTTTTCTTCATCATCAGGTAGTTCTTATTGTTCTTTCAGTTTCTTTATCAGGTGTTGATTCCATCTTGTCTTGTTTCTTTCCAGTTTAAATTTCTTCACGTGGATCTTTTTCTTCGTCGTCTTCCTCTTCTGGAAAATCACGGTAAGTGTAGAAACTAGCAACATATGCAAAGATAAATAGATTGGCTATGCTCACCACCACTAATGCAGCGTAAAAAAGATCCAAACGGCTCTGATTCACAGTGTTTGCAATCCAACTTCCGTCTTCAACTCTCAACTTCTTGACCACCACGTCTAATATCATAATAAACCCTATGTTCAGTATTTTTCCCTATCCGATCACAACTTCAGTGAGTATGAGTGCATATCTCTTCCTCATTGACTTTGGAACCTGATACTTGAAGAAATCCACCATACCATCACGAGCTAATCCATCCATGATTCCCATCAGTACAAACTGTGGAGAGAGCCAAAATACAGATATTGGTGCTATGGCATCGAGATTACCTAACAAGCCGTGTTCTTTCAAAGATTTTAGCCTCTTATACTCCACTCACCAAGCAACTTTACAACAAGCCAAAGTGGCAAGCATTCCTAAACCAACCTTCATTCCAGCTGAGTATCTCCCATTCATTTGCTCTATTCGTTGTTTAAATACTATCCTATACAGAGGTTTCACTGCAGATGTTGCGAATACTACTATAATATGGAAGATTTGAATGGGGAGTTGAATTTGATGCTGCTTTTTTTGTAGTACGAAATGAAATGACCTTTTCATTGCATATCCTTGCACAATGAAAAAGGTACTACTGTTGGATTTGATCACCCCATACAAAAGAAAGGTAGCTGAGATTGGAACCATTCTTAACAGAAGCTTTGTCTCCTCAACCTCATCCACTGTGCAATTAATCCATCCAATGGGAAAGCAGGGGAAATTGCGTGGCACATTTATTGCAGCATTGTTGAGCCACCTGCGCAAGTGTAAAAGATGTTAAAAACAACATAAATTTTACACCAATACCATTTCCAACTTTACTTCAAATATAATGCCATGATAATTTAGTACATTTTGTAAATTATTTCAGTATTTTTTGAAAACAAAAACAGATGCCAACCAAGTTTTGATTTATAGTTTTTGAATTTCTATAAAGGTAACATAAAAATGTATACATAAACTTTATGATCATTGTGTACTCACCGACAGTGATCAGTGAGCGTCGTCTTTTTCTTGGGACCTCGAGGTGTCTTCTGGTTGTGACCTTGACCTTGAGGTGTCTGATCTTTATCCCCATAGTTAAATTCTGTACCCTGCTTAGTAAAGTCAAGATGCCTCTTTAAGAATGCAGCCAGAAGGACCCACAACATGTTTATGAGGGGACTTGCTCGCAGTTGAGGGGGGGAAATGAATGCGTATCCAATCAAAAATATAGTAATCCCAATTGCCATTACACATGCAGATATCAAAAACCGATAAGACCAATCAGGAGCCAAAAAAACCCATGTGATGCCACCTACATTTCCAACTATGAGGCAGGTACTTCGAATAATATTCTTCGGACGTTTCCTTTCGTCTTGAATCTTTCTTCGGCGAACTTCATACTTCAAGAAACCAAATTTGATTACCTTCGTTTCGGGTGGATCTCTTTTGAACTTTATTTTACCAAAGGATAGGGCTTTCAAACATATTCCCTGACCAGCCTTGCCAAGAACAATCAAAGCTAATCCCCAATAGAATGGTGAAGTAGTTAGCTTTGAAGAGCATAATTTCTCCCCTGCTGGACATGACTTTACACCCTTGGAAAAGAACCGATCAGGAACTGACATTACTAGCAACCCCAATCCCTGCATCAAATCATCTCCTATTCATTAGTGAGAGACAATTTTGAAAATATTTTAAATTAATGTGGACCAGCTTTGATGTAAAATAAGTGTGTATGCATCTTGACTCTAATTTTGATGCAAGATTTGAGTGGTTTCCAACCAAAGAATCACTGTGGGTGGTTTGGCCACCCTAGGTTAGTGGTTAACATAGTCTGAAGAAATGGTTGAGGTGTTTGATCAAAGATTTAATTGCATTTTGGATCAAAAAATTAAGAAAGTTAGGTTTACATTGTATTGTTCCAAGATTTGAGTTCTTGAGTTAAATTTGATTCATTGGCATATTCAAAGTATTTAAGTAAGGAAGGGTTATTATTTACATGCATCATTTATATAAATACACCAACTGAAAAGCCATGAAATATTAAAGATTATAAGAATAATCTGGAATAGGAGGGGTTTCTGTTATAGTTTGTTGGTGGTCATAACACATTTTTAAATATTTCATTTTTATTTCTGGATCCTGGATCTGGTCTGCTACTGCTAGCATATCCTTTTGGGTATCTGTTAAAACATTAATACTACTTGGTTCTCCTAAGTGTAAACCATTCATTTCCACTATGGATTTCCAATAATTAATTTCTGATATTTGTTCCTGATTGGTACTACATGGACAGGGTTCTTCTGATCCATCTTCATCAGAGGAAGTGGAGTATAACTGGTTAAGCTCATCATCAGAAGGGATTTCGTCTTCAGTTGAATTTTCTTCTGCTTCTAAAGCTTGGATTAACTGTTCTTTAATATCTGGATCAAGGTTTAATTCATTAACCTTAGATTTTGCTTTAGACTTACATCTATTAGCATAATGTCCTATTTGTCCACATTTGTAGCATTTTACTTCTGATTTAGATTTTCCTTTTGATTTACTGGTAGATTTTTTTGGATAAAACTTCTTAGTAGTTTTCGGGTGGCTAGTCTTAGAGAACTTTTTTCTGTATGGTTTAGAAGATTTTTTATGAGACATCTTCCTCGATTTATTAGGGTATTTTATGCCTGGTTCATAAGCAAACTGTTCACAAAATTCTCCTAATTCTTTTCGTCCTGTTAAATTCTGTTGTTTCATTTGATAATGAAGTTTAAGGTCATTACAGAGGGAAAGACCTTCATCTGTTATAATGGAACAGAGTTGTCCATATGTGTACTGCTCATAAGGAATAGACATCCGGTCATGGCGGTCCCGAAGTTTTTTCCTAACGCGTTCGGCAAAAAGGGTAGGAAGGCCATCAATAAATTTGGCTTTCCAATAAGTACTGTTAGCATCAGGGCGTTGGGTAACCTTAAGAAGGAAAACATCCTTATACCATCGGAAATGGGTTAAGGATGGACAACGCAAGTTCTGAAGAAGCTCACGACCACGGTCCTGAGTAGAGGTACTGGTGCCGATAAAATGGTATATAATCGTCTGGATAAGAGTATAAACAACATCGGATTGTTGAACCTGCTGGTTGGTAGTTGGGTCAAGCTCAAGTTTGACAGCGGTCAAGATTTCGGTTTGTTGGATGGGAGTCATAATATTATCCCACCATCCTTTTAGAACGCCGGTAAAGCCATTAATAATAAACTTAGTAATGGCTTGGTCATTATTACTGTATTGGCGACAAACAGTAGCATACATCATCATTTGATGTAGCTTTTTGTAAATACCAAATTCTGATTCACCATCAATATTCCATTCATAAATGGTTTTACCATGGTAACTATTCTGTTCATTCAGATAGGCCTCTTCATAAAGAATATCTGGAGGAGTAGGTCTGGAATAGTAGTTTCTGGTATGGGGTAAAAATCCTGGTTTAGCAGAACTGTAATAGTTTAGCTTGTTTACAGATGAGGGTTCCTGAAAGTTCAATTGAATTTCATGAATTTGTTCTGGAGATAAAGTATCCTGGTCAGGGTTGGATTCAGCTCTTACCATGTGGATAGTTCCACTACTAGACTGTCCTGGAGGCTTTGGAGATTCTGGAGGGCGAACATTGAGAGTTTGCATTTTCTGAAATAAAGTGTTCATAAACTCAGTATTGGACGATTTTAACTTAAAGTTAGTGATGTCTAAAGATGGTTTAATAGATACAGGATGGAGAGTCGAGACTCCTGTGACAGGTGGAGCCAAGGTTCTATCCTTAAAGGTAGAAACAGCTTCTTCAACTCTGGTTAACTGTTTACTGATGGTTTGACAGATAAGATTGGTATAATTATTCTGTCTGGCTAAAGACCCTTCGGCTTTGGAAAGTTTCCCGGATTGGGCATCTATATATGCAGTGGCTGATAACGGTTTTCTGGTAGTTTCGCCATTTGGAACTAATTCCAAGGCTTGAGGAGGCGGATGTATAGAATGGATAACTTGTCCTTCTATAGTAGTCCAGGCTTTGTACTGGTCTTCAATAACTGTTACTTTTGGTTGGGTGACTGTATTATACCATTCAACAAAAGGTACTAATTTCTGATGTAACTCAAGATGTTGATAATATTGAGTTTTATAATTGGCTAACTGATCAGAAGTATGGTTGGTAAAATACCAATCCCTAAATTCTTTATATTGTCTCTGGTTAAATTCCTGGTTTAATATTTTTCTATTTTCACTTCCTGGTGTAAAATCCATTAAAGATCAAAATTCATATCACTGGCCGTTGGGCTATCTGGTGATGGTGTTGGTACGGTATAAACACCATGAGGAATTCGGTTTTGGGAAAGACGGACTCCTTGGATTTCTGAAGTCATAGGATCGTCCTGTGGATCACTAGGTGGTCTACTAGGAGGTCTAGAGGGTATCTGTTGAAGAATGTTTTCTATTTGTCTTCTGGATGGTAAATTGTCAACAGATTGACGACTAGATTCTGGATAATCCACTTGATAAGGAGGGACAGAACGAAAACTGTTGTTGGAAAAACTTCTAGGGGCAGTTCGAAAACTGGCATTAGAAGAATTGCTCCTGGTAAGCATAGGTTTCTGAAATCGGAGGTAGACATTACCTCTGTCTGTCTGGATGACATCATCGATGTTATGCTGGATGAGAGGTTTAGGAGGGACAGCATTGGGAATCTCCCATCTGTCAGGAAAAGTTATATCCTTCCAAGGGAGGATCTTTGGAACGGCTACTTGACTGCTGTAAAGATTTGTTTCAATCAATACTGTTTTTCCTGCTTCAGTTTTCTTTTTGACATAAGGATTTAAAGTTGTTAAAGCCTTAATACAAATTCTGGAATGAACTGAAAAGGGAGGTGTTCCTGGTTTATACTCATAACCATGAGTAAGAACTCGAAGTTCTAAGGTTTCGGAAAGGTTAGTGTCACACAAGGCAACACTAAGATTCGGATAGATATCAAAATAAACTGGTCCATGAGACAAACTTGTCTCAATAGCGCCCATAAGTGAGGCACGCCAGTTAAGGCATCTGCCATCACGTAAGGTGCATTGGATGCTGGTATTCTGACCAAGAAGAGTCAGCGGTTTGAAGGCGATCTGTACTAGTCCTATATGGATGTACTTATACTATTTAACAAATGGAATAAAATCATTTATATGAATTAAATGAATGATTTCATCATTGTTCTGAATACAGGATGCATGTTCAAAGGTTTTAATTATTTTTTTACTAAGAAAGTTAAAAGTTCCTTTCTTGTAAATGGTTGCTGGATCTACTGTTGGGATAGTCCATTTATCTAGGGCTTCCTTAACATCCTGATATGCTACTAATTCAGCGGCTTCGGCTAGAGAGGAAATAGTATTTCCTACTGATGTTACAGATCCTGATTCTGGTATTTCTACTGTATTTTCTTGTTGATTGGACATGGTTGTATTGTGATCATATATGTCTAATTTATTAAATTTATATTTTTATTATATGATAATTAAAACGTGGCTCTGATACCATGAAAGGTGCTCACTAAAGGTAAGATTAGCACGTCTGTCAACGGCTTACGGGCATCAAACGGTCAACCGCACTCTCTGCAACACGACCTAACCCTACGCGACTTGGATGACGTCCCACTAACCCTAACCATTAATTAACCTTACATAAGCACAAACCCAAGAATTAATACACACATAATAATGACATAAATAAAATAAATTAGGACATATATGATCTCATATACCTTTACTGTTGGGGTGGCGGAGGCCTTCTGGCCGCCCAAGCCACCAGCTGCTCGTTGATCAGCTCCTGGAGTTCCTGTAAATACCTTTCACAATTGGCTAACCGCTCGGTGATGTACTGTTGAGTATAACGGTCAGGGGGAAGGCTAAGATAGTACTGTTTCTGATTAAGCCAGAATTGTTGTGCTGATAAGTATAATTCTAGTAAATCAACTGAGGACATACATATTGAAACACGAATAGCAAACTTTTATTGAGGAAGTAAAATATTTTACAAGAGAGGGTTGGAAAGAGATTACAAGGGAAGGAAAATTCAAAAGAAAAGAAAGACTGAAAATTTCTAAGTGCCTCAACAAGGGTGTAGGCATCCCTTTAAATACTACTAGGAAGATAAGATTACATTATTACATAAAGACAGGTGGCCTTCTTCTATTGAACCGACAGAATTCCACCTTATCACCTTATCTTCACTTTTTCGGAATGGAAGACAGCATCTTCTCTTTACTGTTGGAGATATCTTCTCTTTACTGTTGGAGATATCTGCTTTGAGCAAAAGTTGCTTGTCCTGTTGTACCGACGCTCTAAAGCTCGGGACCCTTTCCTTTATTACTTTTGTCTTGGGTCATCTTTTCAGCAATTGCAGCTGTAAAGGAATCCCAAAAGTCACCAAGGGTGGGTTCCATTTCGTCTTCGGATTGAGACTCTCCTGCTAACACGTGGTCGGTTGGATCGGCCTCTGATTCGGATTGAGTATGACTGGTACCTGACCTCATAGAGACGTCATCCTCTGGATTAACGGATTGGAGGAATTGCTCTTTCAGATAATCCATGCTTTTAAGAATTAATTCATTATCTGA